GAATTTTGGAAGGAATTTCTAGGAGAACCTCTGTATTATTATGGTTTGCGTACAATAACGGCATCGTAAGTATCAGATGTCCCCTATCAATAGAGAAAAGTTATTCCCTGCTCATTATGGAAAGAAGAACTTTATCATCCTTATAAGACATGAACACATCGTCTTCCACGAAGTACCATAATCCTGCTCATAATTTGTCCTTGGGGGGATGAGGCGATGGACATGTAACAACGACCAATAACACTAATGACACTGTGCGCCTCAGGAATACTAGGCTATTATTGACACATGTTCAGAAAAACTTGAAATTACTATAGGCTTCAGGATCTGCTCTAGGAAGGGATTATACATATATCCTGAAAAATAAAGGCAGTATTAACAGTTCCTGTAGAGAGTCTTTGTTCGAGGATTTTCAGAAACAAAGTCCCACCTCTACTGGGGATATTTTAGATAGGCGCTGGCCAGCGAATACTATACAGGAACTCACAAATAATGATGCAATAATTGATGACAGCTCAAAAGGGGGATTATCAGGGGATCTAAAGCCGCGTCATTCTTTTATAAACGACATACGAAACCTACAGATCGTTATGATTACACATAATATGGACATTCTACAATGGATTCTTGAAAAGATTACATACATAAAACAGAGGGTTCTAACTATCGGGATCAGCATTATCATAGAATATCATACAGAATTAAGTGTGACTGTTCAGGAGACTTTATCAATGAGAAATAGAACATTCAACCCTCAAGTAAAACGTCAAGCAAAATATCTCCTGAGCCTTAAAGGGGAAATGCGGAAAATCCATACCGTACATCAAGAACTGAAAGGAACAATCTTAATAAATATCACAATACTCAAAATCCGGAATCATCAGGAAGAATACGGGGGAATCCGTACTATAACCCTCAGGCAGTACCACGTCGTCATCAAGTCCTTGTACCATCAAATAAGTAAGATCACGGCGGCATAAATAATACATACATGTTGAAGAATTTTACATCGTCTCGCCTTGTCCTTATAATATAAGGCATACAATTCGGTAAACAGGGGTAAACACCATCCACATTGTAGTAGGAGTGAGCACTGGCTACTCGGGATTGAAGTATATCGTCTGAGGCTCCCTTTACCAATGCTCGTTGCATTCACACTGGAAGTATTACCGCTATTAGTAGGCATCCCATTGACAGTTGTCCTTTCTGCATCTTATGGACTCCTTGTCTTAGGCGTCATAGGATATCTGTATGTGCTTCTGAAAGTATCCGAATATGGACAACCATTCGACGGTATCAGTAACCCTCGTTTTAAGGATTGTATATGAGGCGTGGAGAAATACATGTGAGACAAGATCTCAGCAGCCTGTTCCAACAAAGTAACTGATTATTATTGGATGCTATGTTGAAATGATAGTGGTGATCCTCCAACGCCGAAGGGTCATCGTAACTCCCATAACCCCTTTTTAATTTGAACAATTAGTGCCCGTTTTCTTCTTACCATCCTATCTACATCACATTTCAACTGTGTCTTGTATAGTAACATGATATCTTGACCTGAGTAAGTCCCTCCTTTTAGATTTACATTAATATGGTCGTCATAAAGCCGTTGTTGTGGTAGGTAGAATTATAAGGAAGGAGGCCCCATTCTATGAGGGTCCTGGGTCTCTTCGGAATGCTGCAGACCTAATTAGCTATATGGATGCCTCATCACTTAACCCCAATACATCTCCTAGAATCAAAGTCTGGTATACGAAGCTAAAATGGCTATATAATTTATCGTAGTCATGAAGACAGGGGTCTCCTTCTCTTCTCTGGCGTCTACTTTCCTGAAGCTGATCAGGAGTATGTTTCATGTATACCAAAAGGAAACTCACTGGTCGCATTTTATTAGCTTCTAAAAAGGGAAAATTCTGGTGTCTTTAAAGGTACGGATCAGGAGACTTCAGGAGGGATTTCTATAAGGGGTAATCATTGGAATTATTATATACCCTCTCTCATCTTTGTCACACGCGCTTTTTCTGTTTTCAGTTGTGTTCTGGCTCCGTGCTGTTCAATCTCCACATATTTTATCTTTTCTCTCGAGGTTGATATTAGGAGGGACATGTGACTTCTTTTTTAATCTCTGTTTTACTGACATCAGGAAAGATGTTTTAATTCATTTGTCGCCATTCCCCACTGTGACCTTGCCTTCCTCTTCTTTTGTATTTTCTCTACTCTGTGTTACAGCAAAGATGGAAGAAGATGAGGGTGCAGACACGTATTATAAGCATTCTCACATTGGATGGATTAATAGAAAGATATGTAATCGGGAATGATTCTCATGTGGCTTGATAAATATCTGTTAGATGATTATAATTTCTTCCGGATATTTTTGATTCCATTCGTATCCGTCCCCCTCCATTCATTGTTAGAAGCATTACACGAAACAACAGGGGTTTGTTTCCACCTCACTTGCAATGCCGCCGGCTTATCCCTTGTTCTTTCGATTATTTGACTTCTGTTTCTTCCTTAAGGAAGTAGCTGATATATATACTCAGGAGTGCTTTCCTATATGATAAAGAACATGTCGCTGTAACCTTTCCTATTAATTAAGTTGACATCAGGGGCAAATGATACCGTCCCCTATGTGTGTGAAGCCGGCAGAGCTGGAAGCCCAAGGATTCTGTGATGAATTAGAAAGCAGATATTACCATATAGAGGTGCACGACTCGCAAGTTGACTACTTTATGAGGCGGGTCCTCAACTTAAGTTGTAGGAAACAGCAAGAGGGGTGTTCTAAACTAAGAGGAGCATCCTATTTCTGCGGAGGGGGATCCAAAGAATATTAGGAGAAAACAAGGACACAATTTGCGGCTAGTTATTGCCAGGCCATCAAGAGGGAAGTGTCCGATACCGCATTGCCAATGTGCCACTATGCAGATAGTGTATTGAAATATACTTCTCACTATATAGTCTCTTCAGCCACATCATTTCTTGCCACCTCCTTGTATCAGGAGATGTTCATGACTGAGCGCCTGCTCACTCTGTGTCTTCCTTAATGATGCAATAATTCCAATGTTGAATTCGTATTTATCTCTTAGTGGTACCTATCTAGGCCGCATATGTTTTTTTCTTTCCTTTGCCAGACGGTAGAGATCAAACATATAGGATCATGGGATGTTTTTATTTGAACAGATCATTTGTCTTGGGGCCATGGATTTATTCTGTATGAAGCAGTTAATATTATGATTTGCATAGGAGTTTCCTGATGGGACGTATATCGCGTTTATACTATGGAAAAATATCAGCCTATAAATTCACTAAGTGGCCAGTATCAAAGAAGAACAGTCGCCTAAGTATCCGAACCCTAGATACAAGACGCATCTACGAGGAGGGGTGTGGCGGGACACTTCTGAACAACAGCCATGTAGCAAAAAAAGGACTCCCGATAGAGAAGGATTAGAAGGAGGGGTGGTTCCATATATATATACCTATATTTAATAACTATACAACCCTATGTACAAGACGAATAACAACATGCACAATGCAGGATTAATTTATCTACCCAGGACACAGCTTTCTACCAAATTTGGCAAGAGACCTATCTGTAATTCCCGTCATTATAGAATAATCCTGTTGCGTATTCCTCTTCCCATTATGTATACATTATCAGGTGCGCAGAATTAGTAATAGAGGATGAATTTCATTTTATACGAGGATCAACATGAGAGAAGGGAGAAAGAAAAAGACAGATAAGACTGTGCATGGTGCAGATATATTATTATCTTTGTACATAATATTTCATTGTGGTTAACGATGTCTTACTAATTCCAGGGGGTTCATAACAAGTTCCTCTTGAATAAGGGAGCAACAGGCCTTCACAGGGATATCATAGAAATGATAAGAAGCCTATCTAGTAACAGTTAGTACATGATCCTATACTCGGGTGGGAGCAGAGGCATATACCTTTGTATTCCAATGACACACGGACAATTTCCTGATTATTTAGACAACTGTCCTGCGGGAATTCTAACCACCTTAAGTGCTGGAGCTATTTTTTCTCGATTTCTTGGAATATCACAGGTATTATGTGGTTTATTGAAAATGTGTAGCTAAGATGACTTTAAGAAATCGATAAATTCTCTTTCCTTCATCGGAATATGCATGACTATGTAAACTTTCACGTTCTGTGACTTAAACTAATTCCAATTATTCGTTACATGCAGATGGAGTCAGGAAGTTATACATCAAAATGCCCTTCTGCAAGTGCACAGGATTTTCCCCAATAAATAAAGATTAATCCATAAGCACTAAAACCTGAGGACTAAGGATATAGGCAGTAATCCCGTAGAATGGGACTCTAACAAATGAACCCTACGCCCTGAATCACAAACCGTGCAGCAGAAGATCAACACCTACAATACAAAGGATAAAAGACTTAACCGACAACACCCATCGTGAACCATAAATAAGAACCTCCGCGAGTACACGTTGAAGCGTGAACGCTGAACAATAAGCGAAGCATTGTGCACGCACGAATATAGACCCTGAAAAAATATTGTCTACCTCAGGGCTAAAAGACAACGAAAACCCCTAAAAGTCGGGGCCGAGGCCAGGAAACCATGAATCATAATCCATAGGAGTAACAAATAACAACAGGATTCGCCTCATAAACCCTGAAGATACAATTTCAGACAAAATAGCCTAGGACATAGAACAATAACAAGCCTCTACAAATCCACAGAAGCTGGGAGCTGAAACCGCCGTGGTGAACTATAAACTGTGAATCCTATTTCCTAAAAAGTGAAGCCAGTCTCCCAAACCCTGCCCTTATGAAGATAAGCCGTAAATCCTAAAGAATCTCAAAACAAAAAAGAATCTAGAACTTGAACCGTGAACCGTGAAGCCCAACCGAGAAGGGATACACCCAAAACCATAAAACTGAGACATAAACCGTGAGAAGTAAAACCTAGAGCCTGAGAATATACCCTAAAGCCAATAACACTGAAGAGGGAAGCAAACACCCGAGAGTCCAAGAATTGAGCAATACCCCATGACCAAAGACCACTGAGCTCGAACAAATACAGCCTAAGCCCTAAAAGAAGAAACTAAACCTCCAAGAATGGGACAGATAACATGAGCAATAAGTATCAGCCGTCAGCCCCCCACAGTAAACGGAACGGATAAACCCTAAACCAGGAAGAATCCGCCCTACAGCCCCAATACAGGAAGCTCAAAGAGGGAGCGCGAGCCCAGGAAACTGAAGAATGAAATCATGACCCGGAAACGTTCAGCAGCAAGACGTAAAGATGAAGAAAGCGCCCTGAAAGATGAGAGGTACCGATTGAAGTGTAGAAGGGAAGCGAACTAGATGATAATACCAAGGCGACCAGAAAGGACGAATTAGAAAACACGAGAGGGCGTCAGAAATAAACCGAAACCAATAGCAACATCGCCGTGAACTATAGAAACCAATAACGAAATCCCGGAACAACAAGCATACACCCAAAATCCTAAGGCTAAAAACTAACAAATATGCCCTTAACGCTAAAACCTGAAGCCGACAGCATTGGGCCTAAGACCTAACACCTAAACACCTGAACCCTTAACACTGAAACCAGAACCGTAACCCCAGACCCTAAATCCTCGATTCTAACCCCTAGGGCCTAACCCATGAATCATAACCCCTGAACCCTAACCCATGAACCCTGAAACGACACACTAGATGTAGAACTCAACACTACTCCTAAAGAGTCACCCCTGAACCATAACCCCTAAGTCGAAAAGGTAAA